CCGACACCGCTGCAGCTGCCCGCCCCGGCCCTGGCAGCCACGAGCTGACTGCAGGCAAGGAATGGCTGAATCCCACCCAAATGTTAAGGCCTTAGCACCATATTTCAGTGTTTTGCTAAAAGAGTGGCCAAATATCTCTGTATATTCGTACTCCAGTCTATCAGTCATACCTGCGAGTCCTCGAGGGACAAGCACAGCGATGCTCAAGTCCCAGCTCAAGTCCCAGATGCTCTGGCACTTCTGCCTTTCCTTGGCAGGAATCTCTGGGGTTTTGGTGGGGTTTTTTCCCTCCCTCTGAAATAGTTGGTTTAAAACTTCTTTGTTTTTAACCTCATCTATTCGTTTGTCTCTGGTAAGACCCACAGAGCTTGCGCTGCGCTGGATGCCTTTTTGAAGGTTTCACCGAGAAAAGCCACGTTAATTTTAAGCGATCCGCACAGGGAGCTCTCAAATACTGCCCTGAGGTCTAAAGGTACGGGCAAAGGAAAGGCATTTTGGAAGGGAGACGTAACAGCTGCCCGCACCGGGATGCTGAGCTGCGGCGTGACGGATGCTGACCTACCCGGCTGGCATTAACGCCCGTGAAGCTTCGCACGTCAGGGACAGGTTCAATGAGCCAGACTTGATCCTAAAATAAACGCTGTCAACCCTTCCAGGTGAGGTTGCTGTAGCGTAAGAAAGACCGTATCAAAGTAGAAGTTGGCCTTCGGTAAGATTGAAACTTTGATGTGCTTAAAAATGGTTGGGGAAAAGAAAAGGGGTTTGCGTGTAATTTTGGAGATCTCAGTATTAAGGAGCTGAACTGGAGATACCTCAAAAAAGGTCTGAGATGGCGAATAGCCACCCTCTAAAAGTTCAAAGGTTTTGCTTTGGCTCGTTAATCGACTTCAAGTGTAGAGGAAAAACCCACCTAATAGGACATACAGAAACACTGTTTTGGAAAACGCTGACCTACTCGACTGAGGTTTGACTGACTTATCGCTCGCTTTCCTACGCTAAGCAGCTAAGCAGCCCCCAGATAGCAGCACAAAGAGGATCAACGACAGGAACTGGCTCCTGAACTTAATGATGACCAAACCAGGCTGGAGGTAATAAAAAAGAAGCTGCAATGTTAAAATGTCGATATTTCATACAGTCACCAACCAGATGGCTCTGTGTGTGTGTATATATATATGTGGGTCTCCTCCTGGATGGTGAGGCCAGACAGGGTGCCACCTGCAGAGAAGCAGAAGCTGAAACCCTCACTGACTTCCAACAGTCGATTGCTTCTTAGAGTGTGGATCAGCCGTCGCTGGAGGAAGGGCCCCACCACCTTTCTTTACACAAACCCGTCCCTGCGCACGCAAAGCCAGCAGGCTCGGTGGCTGAAATTTTGTGTGTGTAATTACGCACAACGCCACGGATAGAACGAGGAGATTATATCTGATGTATTAAACCAACAGATTATATCTGATGTATTAAACCAACTTTAAACTGCTCAGTGCTTTCAGATGGGAAGGTGTTGTCTTATTAGCTCGTTAGCAGAGATTCCTTTCACTGATTTATGTCTCAGAGCAAGCAGAGAAAATGAACTACTGCCTGACCTTCGCGAATAGCTTTTCCAGGCTCTCATCTTCCTCCTGGTCTGCCTGCAGGGCCACCGCAGACTCCCCCCCCACATGCCACCTTGGTGTCTCTCCAGTCTCCATCCTGAACCGGAGCCACCCACATTGCGGAGGCAGTCTCAGACTGACAACCTTGGATAAAAACACAACTTCTTCTCACTGTACCTCCTGCTCATCAATCCCTGCAGCCCAAGCAACGAGCTACTCCGCTTCTGCTGATCAATCCCTCGTGCCACCTCATCCAGTCCTGAAATCTCCTGGTGTGGCTCAGGAAAGGAGAGGAATTGGGGAAAAGCGTTTTGCTAATTTGTCCAGAGAAGATCCAAAGATCTTGGTCTGCACCCTGAAGGGTGGCCTTTCCTGGAGACTCAGCCCACCTCTGAGCATCCTAAGGGCGATGGTAACACCAGAGATAGCAGCAGCACACCGCAGCTTTCCGAGCTGCTCCTGCCATGGCTTCCAGGAGAAGTCCTGCAGAGGGAGCTTCAGCCCCGACAGGAGCTCAGAGCGGTGGGAAATCCACTTCTGCAGCTCTCCCACCGCCCGCGCCCGGATGGAGGTCTGGGGGCAGGTGAGGCTGGCTCCAGCCTTCTGCCCGCAGGAGGGACAGCCCCGGCAAGACGCAGCAGTTCAGGTGCCTCCAGGACGCGGGGCGCTCTGCACGGAGGAGTCACCCCACGCACAGGATCGGTCTCCAGCTCCGACAGGCGCCCCGGGTCACCCCGGCTGGCTCAGTACGTCTGGCGGTGGGTAAGTGCTAACAAGGGACCGCAAGAACGTCCTTTAAAATGGTCACAGCCCAACACACACCTTGCCCTGCCCCTCCGGGTGCCTGCTGTCGTTAGACACCCACATCCTGAAAGCCCCAGCCATGCCCATTTTGAACAGGGTGCGGGGGCTGGTTTCAGTCTCTCGTTCACCGTTAGGACACACCGAGGAGCTGACGAAGCGACCGGGCTGAGGTCACACAGGAACGACATCTCCAGCCAGGTCGCGTGATGCTGTCCCACCCCGTGAAGCTCCGGGCGGCAGCACGGCGACCTGCTTCGTCCGTCCGTCTTCTATCCCTTTGGGTGCCTTACTCCAGCAAACGCTGCCGGGGCGGCAGGGCTCTCCCACTGATTTAGGGGTTGAGTAAGCACACGTGGGATTGTCCCATCCGAGAGATAAGCCCGCTTTCTTCTGGGGTACTGCAGCAGAAGAGCCAAGTACAGCATGCGATGATCTACGTCACTGTCGAGCTCCTCAGTGGAACCCCCCTGCCGCCCCGAATCCTGCCCTGGTGGGACAGCAGCCAGACCGGCATCACAGCCCATCCTGCTTTCACAGGGAGGAGCTTCTTCCTCTTATTTCGGTTTAAATTGCAGACAGGGAGGTACCTGAGAGCGACCTGAGCGATGTTTTGCTGTGCTAAAGCAGCACCTGGTGACAAGCAGTGCCTGCTCCGTGCCGCGGGACCTGCACATCCCACCGGGCAGAGCGGGTCGAGGGTAAATTGGGGAGCAGCCCTGCCGGAGCAGCTCCCCGGGACCCTCAAATACACGGAGCGAGACCCCGCGGTGCTGCACGGTGTGAGAGGCCAGGCAGGCTGCCCATCTGTCACACGTGTCTATTATATGCATACATGCATGTGTGTGAACGCAGATCACATGTACAAAACCAGGCGATGCCACTAATTAACCCAACCTGACACACTAATTTCCTCCGGCCAGCACCACCTGCAGTACACAGGAACCGCATCCAGCCTCCGCAGTGCAGCCCTGCGAGCACAACAGGCATCGTCCAGCTCCGCCGCACCCGGAGCCTGAGCGGCAGCAGAGGGAAGAGCAGCTTCGCTCACCCGCAAATGAAGAATGTCTTGATTTTTGGTGGCGTTATTGGCCTACAGAGTCTGGAGAGGAGCGATCCTGCTATGAGCACAGACTGCTCATCCCTAGCAGGGCGGCCTGGCTCGCCGTGCCGGGGTGAACGGCTGGGAACGGGCTGCGCACCGAGACAATCCCGCAAATCCCTGCTGCGCCGGTCCGCGAGGGATTGTCCCCAGAAAGCCTCTCTGACAGACGGGGTGCTCAACGGGATCTAACATCGAAGGCTGGAGGAACCGTGACGGGCAGAGGAAAGTAGACGCGATGTGAACACGACTGCTTTAGGCTTTGATTTTGTGGCCCCTCCAGGGCTGCTGATATTTTATGGGGAGCCCCAAATATTTGGGGGAGGATATTAAAATAAGGCTGTGAGATGGCACCCACTGCAAACTCACCTGGGCCTGCTCTCTGCGTGGACACAAGACCCGGCGTGGTGCCTGTCGCTGTTCTTCACGGCGGCCCCAGGGGCTGGGACCCCTCTGAGCCCTCCAGGAGGGCTGGGACCCCCCTCTCTGCCCTGGCCTCCGCGTCCTGCTGCCCTCGTGCGAACGGGCGCCCCAGACCCATCAGCCCTCTTCTTCACACCTCCCTTCAGAGGCACGGGGGCATCGAAGCAAGGGCATTTCTTTCAATACAGACATGCAGCTTTGCATGTTCTAAAGTACAAGACAGGCAGAGAAACAACCAGTTCCTCAGTCCTACAATCCAGTTTGCTCCCCTTTTGTGAGTCCTCAGAGCAAGTCCCCTCACCTTCCATCGCGCCGTTCACCCCGTCTCCTTCTCCGGGCACTGAGGAGCCTGCCTTAAAAATGCCTCCGCTCCTGCGTCTAGTCGCAGGCAGAGGAACAACGATTCCTTCCGTTTGCATCTCGTTATTTAGAAGAGACAGTTTGCAACCTTTCTGCTTGGAAGGACGTGACAAACACGCTCAAAGCTGGTTGTGCATCCCGTACCCCCGTCCCTCTCACATCCCCCCAGCACCTCCCAGCTCAGTCAGAGCCTGGTGTGCCACAGGCTGGCTCTGAACAGCATCAACCCCCCAGGACCACAACCCAACCTTTCTTTTTACCTCCACGCTCTCACCTTGCCATCTTCATGATAGACAAAGATGTTCCTTGTGCTATTGTCCTTCAAGTAAGTGATCTGCAGTCCGTGTGGGTTCCCGATTTTTGCAGGCTGGAAAGTCGCATTTAGATGTTCAATCTTCATAATTGCTTTGGGTTCTTTTGCCTGGAAAACACAGCTGAGTGAGCAAACACCTGAGAATTGGCTTTCAAACCAGAAAGCAGTTCACTTGGTCAGAAAAAACCTCCTGATTGAGGCCATTAGCTAAAAAAAAATTACTGCCAGCCCACAAAACTGCCTGGAGATGAGATATCAGAGACTTTGCTCAGGCAGCAATGAGTGCTTTCTGCCAGCCTGGGAGAACGCCCTGCTCTTCTGCAAAATTCAGCAGAGTTCAAGGGGAGAAAGGTTTCAGCCCAGAAGCGAGATGGACAGGCTAGGTCTCACAACAGGATGCTGTGCTATGAAGACAAGCACCTTCACCATGTCTCCTGCCCCAGCCGCTCTTCAACTGTCTCTTGACTCCTACATCAGCCTCTTTACCTAATGACAGGTGACCAGCATTTACACCAGGATGAGCACTATCAGAGAAGAAAGAAAACCATTCAGCCAGACAAAAGAAGTGCAGACTGCTAACTAACAGGCCAGGATGCTTTCTGCATGTCAAGCACTCACAACCAGGTCATCCTTGCCCAAGAGATGGAGGATTAGCACCCTCACCAACATCAGACCTGGGTGCTAGGCTGGCCGGGGGCACCATGCTCATATCCCCACTAGTCCCACGCTCTCACATGAGCCATGGGCTTCTGATTCTGCTCCTCCGTTTGCCCTCCAAACTGGGAACTTTCTTTCCAGAGGGACAAGTATATACCTTACAGCCCATCTCTTGGCTGGGTTAGCCCAACGCTGAGCCTGGATCATGCCCTCCCAGGCACCAATCCCACCTGCACCCTCTCTGGCAGGTCACTTGAACTCTGTAGCATGGTTTGTCTTCCTATAAAATATCTCCAGAAGTTTACCACCCTTTCAGGACTGCACTGAGAAGTGAAGTAGCAAGCGTGACTAAAACACCCCAAAAAATAAAGATTATGCGGTTGGTAACAGCAGTTCTAGGCACAACCAGGGGCCAGCAGAAGGTCATGCAGTGGTGCCATGGTCCCCAGCACCACACGGAAGTCCTTGAGCTGGTGGAAATGCTAGCACCACTTTGGGAACTTGGGGACTTGCCCTGGACACAGCTGCCATGGGTGACCACAGCGGGGAAATCCCACCAAAGAGGATGTGTCTAGACAGCGCCGTTCCCACCATGGCTGTGGTCAACAATGAAGCAAAGAAGCTTTAAACTACCAGAGCAGTCAATAGTGACTGCTGGGATTTTCACTTCTCCCTCAGTAACGACTGGCTCTCCCCTGTCCACAAGATGCAATTGCAGCACACCAAGCTGAAGAAGACAGCACTATCAAAGCAGGACCCGGGGAGTGGAGAAGTGTGGCTGGATGTTCCCCTCCTCTGCATGGCGTGGGTCATCATGACACCACGATTGCATCAACTACACAAGAAAACTGGCTGGTCGCTTGGCCTGGACTGCTCTCAGCTGCGATGTTCAGGGGAGACTCAAAGGCCAGAGAAAACACCTTGGCTTCCACCATTACGCGGTGCAGAGTAGTAGAGCATCTATTCGTTCATCACGAGTGCCATTTTCATGATAATAGCTCCATTTCTCACTTACAATAAATGAAATGTGCTTGGGGGAAAAAGACAAATGCTTCCACCGCTTGATGCTGGAAGAGAAAACCAGGGAGCTTTTCCTCTGGGTTGCTGGCCATGCCGTGCAAAGGAGGTTTCAGACCCCAGTGACCGCTGTGAGGTGGTGATGCCTTCATCACAAGCTAGCCACAAACATGAAACACCCCGTTGGGTGGATGATGCAGAGCCAGAGCTGAGATAAACTCCTTCACTGACAGTTGAAGAAAAGCCTTATTGACTCGACAGAGCAGGACTGGGTAAAATGGCCAGTCAGGGTGTCTCACCATGACAGTAGTGGTGGACCAAGAGCAAACCCTCCTGAAAACACTGGTAAGCTGGACCTGGCACCCTTGTCCTGGAGCGATCAGGGACTCAATGCTTATGAAAACTGTAAAACTATAAATAAAACGTTGGCCTAGGAATTACTTGTTCGAAAATGCTCTTACAGCTGCGATCCCCTGTCCGCATACAGCAATCCCAGGTACTCACGTCATTTTTGTTGAAGTACTTCAGCGCACCTTCCCTCTCCGATAACACGAATTTTCGGCTTAAGAATTGCCCGTTGTCGCGTCCTCTCTTCCACAGAAATCCTTCTCGGTACCCTGCAGCAGAAAGCAATTGCTGAGAACCAGGGATAAAACACTGCATTTAAAAAAAGAGATTGGGTAAAGAAAAGGAGAAGAGCTTCGACTTCAAAACGAAGCAGACCAAACGTGTGGCTGGATTGCTCAAGATGTGAACAAAACAGGCCTTCTCCTTCAGATCTGCCCTTCTCACTCCACTCTTGCTCTTTCCTAACAGCTTGAGCTTCACAGATGCCCCCGCCGTGACACCACGATGTGGCAGGCACAGGAGGATTCCCACGTGCATCCCCCGCTGCAACACAGGCAAAGACTTGAGGAGGGGGGCTGTGTCCCTGCCACAGCTCCCAGCGCCAGGGATGCTCCTCAGCTTACACCAGTAGCACTTCTGGAGCAAGGCAAAGGCAGGTGAGATCTGTTCTACTGTGCTGATGCTGCTAAAAAAATCAAACATGGAGAGTGTGCGGGCAGGGAAAGCGGCTCGGGGCGGATGGCTGTATCAGAGCAAGCCACAAATATATTTTTCGTGTGGAAAAAAGGGAAAATGCTTGCAGTTCTTCCCACTGACTTCAGGGCCCTTTGGTTCAGAAAGCCACTGAGCCAGACCCGCATCCTCTCCCCTGGGAGCCGGTCCCTCCAGCCCCAGGCACGGCAGCCGGGCTGGCCACCCCACACCTCTTCTCTCTCCCTGGATGTCAGCCTCAGGGGTGGATTTGCAGCTATTCAAAATACACCTGCTTTATTTAAAACTGAACAGAGCCAGAAAGAGAGAAAAAAAGAATCTAAAAATCTTAACTCCTCAAATCAGAAAAGCAATTACAGCTGATGACTGCCAGCACCTCCTGCAGCAGCCACAACGCACAACTTATTTCACAAGTTTACTTGACGCGCTAATTGTAAATGCTTTAAAACAAAGAAACCCCGAGAACTGTCCCCAAGAACTGGAAAAAAAAAGAGGTAAAGCTTGTGGGCTGAGATAAAGACAGTTTTATAGGACATAAAAGGAAAAGAATAACAACAACAATAATGATAATGATAAAAGAATATACAAAACAAGTGATGCACAGCACAGTTGCTCACCACTGATGCCCAGCTAGTTCCCGAGCCGTGGTCCCAGCCCCGGCCAGCTTCCCCCCAGTTATATACAGAGCGTGACGTCATATGGTATGGAATGTCCCTTTGGTCAGTCGAGGCCAGCTGTCCCGGCCGTGTCCCCTCCCAGCTTCTTATGCACCGCTGGCGGGGCAGTGTGAGGAGCTGAAAAGTCCTTGGCTTAGTGTAAACATCACCCAGCAACAACGAAACATCAGTGTGTTATCAACGTTATTCTCCTCCTAGATCCAAACCACAGCACTACAGCAGCTGCTAGGAAGAAAATTAACTCTATTCCCAGCCAAAACCAGGACAGCCATAAAAACCTAAAGCAAAAAAAAAAAATGCACACAGACACACTTTTAATGGTCAGAAAAAACAGGAAGAAAAGAGCAGTATCGACAACAGCTAAAGATGCCCAAAGGGAAAGCACCCATCTAGCTAAATATGCCTTTGCTGATAGTCAGAATACCAGCTTCTTCTGTCTGGACTTACAAAACTCCAATTCAAATACTCTCTGCTCCTCAGAGAGACTTTACTGCACTCCAGGCAGAGCCACCGACGTCTGCCATGAGCGAGCGCAATGGCAAAGCCCGTGCCGTTGGGAACGCAGAACGCTAACCACTGAGCGTCATAAACCCGACCGGCGCGACAGCTGCCACGTGGGACGGCAAACGGGCTGATAACTTGGTGCAGACAGAAGGAGGGGAAATATTTAAAGCTGTTTCTTTATTCTACATGGGGCATATGCTGCAGCAGGGCTGTGTTTTACAAAGCGGGGCCTCACCCTTCCCCCCAAACGGGCGTGCGCTGCCACCCAGGAACCGGCACCGGTGTTTTCATTGCAGAACCTGCCGGGATGCCCCCTCGTGCACCACTTACAGCTCGCTCGCTCGCACGAGAGAGCCAGCAGAAGCCGAGCGTGCACCTCTCCCCTGAGGCCCAGCCGTCCCCGCTGCCTGCGCTCCCACGAACCTGCCGCTCCCCACGGCCAGGCAGACTCAGCGGCAACCGAGACCACGTCGCTGCCCAGACACGCGCACGGGGCAGCCCAAACCCTCGTTTATCCCACGGCCACGGCCAGACGGTGATGCCACGCCACTGTCCACCTAACCCCTCCGCCTCCGAGCCCTGCCCATCCCTCCAGCGCAGGACAAGTGCTCTGCCCCGTGCAGACGTTACCCACGTGCACCAGCCCTGTAACCCAGAGGACCGATACCAGACGTATCGAAGGAATTACAGGTCTGAAGCTCGTTCTCTGCTCCACCCATCCACCTTGGAAGAGATTTCCCCAAAGCCACGAGCAGAACGAGCTAATTCAGTCCATCAGTTCAATCCTGTCCCAACTGTGGGCTTGCTATGCACTTTTTCTAGCAAAAAGACAGAGCTAACCTGTTGGAGGGCACTTGCAGTGTCAGAAAGAGAAGAACTCACAGGGAGCAGGATTATCCGAAGTCTGAGCAAGGGGAAGCAGCCAGGAAAGGCACCAAAACCCAGCTGAGGGCAGCCGCATCCGACGACAGCGCGGGGAAGGCCCAGGGCTGATGCATTTGTATCACCGCCATGGGAGGAATTAATTGCCGGGGAACCAAAGCTCTGACTGATTCAAAGTCAGATGCTGCTACCTGCCAGGCTCCTATCACCAAAAACGCTACATAACCTATAGCGGGCTGTGCACGATGGAGCTGAATAGGAATAATATCTGTCTGACAGGAGACAGACAGGCAGTAGGTGATGCTCGGCCGATACGTTTCTAAAATGCAAGATTTGCTTAATGCGAGGCAGAGATGCTGCTGGGGCCCTGACGGCCGGCGTTTGCCGACTCCTCTCTTGAATGGCAAAACATTAAGCAGCTTGCTCTCAAAGCCTGCAGTTTAGAAACCAAGGACAGGCAGTTTCGGTTTCCCAAAAGGTGCCGATTTTTAATGCCAAGCCGGTCGGAGCAACGGGAGAGCACTTCAAAAGCCATTTCTATTCACTCCACTAAACGGCAAAGACGGCTTCACAGCCTCCCCGCCGCCTCTCGGTGCCTGACATTTGGGGAACACTAACACCTCGTAGGGGGCTGGAGAGAGCTGGTTTTGGAGGAAAGAACATCAGTGTCAAACGCGAGAGAGGCGAGACAATGCGAGGAGGACATCTCCAGATGCAAATGTGGGGTGATGCAGAAGGAAAGCCCATCTTTTCCTTCAGAAATCCCCACCCGGGGTTTGCTCGGCTCAGCAGAGCACGCTGGGCACACAGAGCTCAGCTCTCGGCGGCTCCACCTCGGAGCAGCTCTGCTCCACAATTCCTGGCTGTGGGTGTCATCCATTCATTCACCTTGAGCGTCTCATTCCAAACATCTGAACAGCGAAGGATGCTGCAGGCATTCCTTATTAAACTTGTTCTCCTCCACAATACATATTTTGTGATTTTTCTTATTATTTAGGGGATGAAGAATAAAATTGCTCTGCGTTTCCCTAAAGAGGATCTCAAATAATTGCAAATCTGTGAAGCCCACCTAACGCTTACCCCTGGCAGATAGGCATCGTGACAGTTATATAGGAAGAGAGGGAAGCCCAGGGAGGTTTGGTGAGCTGCCCAGGACAAGACTGAGCCAGTGTCAAAGTCAGGCTGGAAACGCAGCTTTCCTTGCCCTCTTACGTAGGGACATGTCATCATTTTATCTTCTCTTTTCAACCTTTTGTGGCAAAACACAGTACCTAAATTCCACTCCAAGGAAGAATTTAAAAAAACCCCTCAACACAACACTAAGTGTTATCCCTTCTCATAGTTCACATGCCGGCTCTTCCCAGACCGATCGCCTCTGCAAAAGAGCTCCAGGCTGCTCTGACAAAGCCAGCTGCTAATTTCACTGTACTTTGGTACAGATGTTCATCAATCCTTTGCTTGTTTCTTCTCTTTTTCTTTCTTTCTTCCATCCTTCCTCCAGGGCTGCATCCTCAGGAGCTGTTCCTCTGCTCTGCCCAAACCTGCTGCCTGCACCCCTGTCAACACCGATCAGTGCAAAACACCATGAACTGGACTTGAACCCAACGTGAACCCATCCAGGTTCCCCAGGCAAACAGTATGTCAGCAAGATCTGTCCTCAATGTCCTGATCTAAAGGACTGTGAAAACAGCTAGAGAAGGTGTTGAGAACCAAAACTGCAGGAGGCTGAACAGGGACCAGATCTCACACCGGAGGGCATCGGAGTCGGAGAACTAAACTGTGTCTTCCTCATCTCTGTGGGCTGCGCTACCTTAGCAACAGCTTCATATTTAGAGGTTTCTGGCCAAATTCAGACCTTCACGAGGGCTGTTCTGCTCATGTTGAAGCTAAACAACCACTAGCCCTACAACACTTGGTGATTGCTTGGTGTTGGACCACACAGCATCACGTCCCCAATGCATGTGCTTCGTCTTCCAAGGCACAGAACAAGGGATGCAGCCGCATGTCATCATCCCACTTGATCACCATCACCCAACCATGCCTGTAGAAGGGACTACCTGGTGAAGACCAGCTGGACAGCATCTATGACCACCCCTTAGAAATATCACTCTCACGTTGCTAACAGCACTGTTGTTCGGTTGTCAAGTTTTCTGCATCATGTCAGCCACCTGCCAAGAAGAAAACCCAATCACTTGCTTTTGTAGGCAGTTCTGGCACACATTGGTGACACTTGCAAAAAAAAACCACCAGGCAGTTGTGCAAAGTTAGCCAACACATGGCACATAATATAGTCTGAAATCACACAGCCCAAATGGGTATTTTTGGCCCGCTACGTAGTTTCCAAGGTAAAACAAGGAACTGTCACTTCCACACTTGCTTCATCACCGCAGCTAAAGCTCTGCTAAAGTCACCATGTTGGTTGACTGAAAAGAAGACATTGCATGGCCTTGTGTCAGCTCTGCTGAGCTGGTGGCTGGAGCTCCCCCAGGCCAGGC